AACTAAGGGGAAAAAAATTAATATAAGACACTGTCTTATTTTCGGGGAAACAGGGTAGATAGGTACATAGATACATAGAAAGATACATATATACTTAGATGATGGATGGATGGATGTTCTGGAAAGGTCAGCCTTCGATGGGAGGTCACGGGGCCGTGACACTGGTCCTGTGTCCTGCCCAGGCACCCGGTATCACAGGCTCTAAAGGGGCTGCCGCCTCAGATCTCTGGTGGCCAGACTGGGCCCAGAGCACCTTCACGTTGAGGTCACCCTGCGACACCCTCTCGGGGCCTCTCCCGCCTTTGGTTGGTGAATGGGGTGTCTCTCAGCTCTGCGGTCCTCTTTCTGCTGTGGCCGTGAGCTCCCAGGGGGGCGGGATGGAAACTCAGTGAAAGGGGGTTTTTCTGCCGTAAATAGAGCCTCTGACACGCGGGTCGACCGCAGGCCCCGGCCGCCCGCCCCGGCAGCCGCTGGTTAAACAGGCGAATTTGCATCCATTCTGCGGCGGCACCGCGCTCCCTGACACTGATCTCAGAACGCGCTGCGCGAGGCTAAAAATACCCTCCGCTGAGCCTGGGACACATGCTTCTGAGAACAGAGGAAGCAGAGGATGCGGAGAAAACAGAAGGAACTGGAGTTTACATATAAAAGCCCTGCTGAAACCAGTTTGGCTCAGTGGATAGAGCGTCGGCCTGCGGACTGAGAGGTACCGGGTTCAATTCCGGTCAAGGGCATGTACCTTGGTTTCAGGCACATTCCCAGTAGGGGGTGTGCAGGAGGCAGCTGGTCCATGTTCCTCTCTCGATGGTTCTAGCTCTATCCTTCTCCCTTCCTCTCTGTAAAATATCAATAAAATATATTTTAAAAAATAATAAAATAAAACCTACCAATGAGCAGCTTTATGGAGGGCCGTAAAGGAGTTACATGCTTCCAGATGTTGGTCGCTATAGTAACTATCATCAGATACTTTGCCCCAAATAGTACATGCCTGCTAATGTACAGAATGAGTACTTTTCTACTGTAATTATAAACTACCTAAAATGATTTACTTTTCCTTTGGAATCAGATTGTTGGCATTTGGGGCTTCCTGTTTTCTCAGTAAAGACTCTTATCAGTGCAGCCCTGGCTGGTGTGGCTCAGTGGTTGGAGCATCGGCCTGCACACTGAAGGGTCTAGGGTTTGATCTCCGTCAAGGACATGCACCTGGGCTGCAGGATTGATCCCTGGCTCCGGCCAGGGCACAATGTGGGAAGCAGCGCGTACTTGTGTCTCTCTCATATCCATGTTCCTCTCTCTGTCCCTCTCCCTCCCTCCCTTCCGCCTTCTCTAAAATCAGTGGGAAAATAACCTCCATGAGGATTAACAGAAAAGAGAAATAAGAAGACGGGGCAGGCCACAGGAGGGGGCACGGGAGGCGCTCCCAGAGTCACATCGGGGATGTGCTGAGACAAAGCAAATATGAGCAAATCGTGTACTTTTAAAGCTTTTACCAAAGGTATTTATTTTTATGATTGGGCTATGTTCTTTTTAGAGACTCCTGGGAATTGCCCAATAATTTACCACTGAAACAAGGTACCTGCCATTGTATTTGAATTATGGCCACATTTTCTACAACAAAAATGTGAGTGCACTTGTAGGGCGAGTTGAAATTAGAATGGCTTAAAAAATACCTAGGATATATGGTTAATATACACTGAGCGGCCAGATTATGATGATCTCGGAATGCATAATAATCTGGCCACTCCGTGTATATCCTATGTAATAAAAGACTAATATGCAAATTGTCCCCCTGACCAGGAGTTCAACCAGTAGACAGGCCAGCCAACCACCCATGTCCCCTCCCCCTGGCCAGGCTGGCCGGACCTCCCCTCCCCAGCCATGTACAAACTCATGCACCGGGCCTTTAATATGTGTGTGTGTGTGTGTGTGTGTGTGTGTATATGTATATGTGTATGTGTATGTGTACGTGTATGTGTATGTATACACACACTGAGTGGCCAGATTATTATACGTTCAGAGATCATAATAATCTAGCCACTCATGTATATATACACACATATTGATGTGTATACACACACACACACACACACACACACACACACACACACACACACACAGAGTAGCAGTTCCACACTTGGTCACCAGGGGGCGCTTTGCTGACGTGAGACCAACGGGAAAGAGAGGAAACTGGTGAACACCAGGGTTAAGGGTCAAAAGGAAACCGGCTCAGTATTCCTCAGTCTTGGGTGGCAGCCTCCTGGGGGGCCCCTTTGAATGAACTGAACCCACACTGATATGCTCCCATCCTGGGCTCCAGGCGCTCGGGATTTAAATTACTCTGAGCTGCAGGCTTGCGGGCTGCCCTGGAGGGTGCTGTGCCCTGGCAGAGCAGCAGGGCCAGCCTTGGACAGACGGAACTCAGAAGTGTGCCGGCCCCTCCCGCAGGCCCAGGCTCAGCAGGCAGCAGAGCGGGTGTGGAGTGAATGGGCTAACGTCTTGTCCTTTGACATTAATTCACGCTCCGGCGTCCTGGGCACAGGGTGAGCAGCTCCCTGTCATCGGCGTCCCCTGCGTGTCCACGTGTGTCCTCCTGGGGACCGAGGCCGCAACCTGAGCGTGTGCCCTGACAGGGACCTAACCATGACCTCCTGGTCCATAGGTCAGAGCTCAGCCCCTGAGCCATGCCGCCAGGCCCGTCTCACTTCACAAGGAAGACGAGATCCAGGGGGAGACGGGCAGCCAGAGCAGGAAATGGATCTGTGCCTGGTGACGGGGAGCGAGGCTCAGGTCATATGCTAAATGGAAGACAAAGATCACAAGGTTTTTGTTGGATTCCCCCCCCCCCCCCCCCTTTTTCTGTTGCTTTTATTTTTTGCAGGGTGTGGAGGAGACAGGGCAAAGAGTGAAGGAAGACCTGGCCTTTTATTTACTTTTTTAAACTCGAGAAGAGTGACGGCCCCTCGCGGTACCTGTGCAGACGGATACGATTAACTCGCTGCTCCAGAAAACTAATTTAATCCCCGAGTCATTTACTTGGGCTTTACAGTAGACTGGCGTTTGTGTCGGATTTTCCTGCCCTAATTACTTTTTGCTTAAGCGTATTTGAAAATTGTTTTAAATTCCTTTGGTGGAACCTGGGGGTGGGGGTGGAGGTGGGGGGGGAGAAGGGGGGGTGAGGAGACCTGGGCCACAGCCGGGCGGACTGGGTGTCCAGCTTCCCTGAATAAAAGCCTCCAGACACGCGGCTGGTGGGAGAAGGAATCAGAGCCAGTTTTCTGGAGAACAGTTTGGCAAAAGTATTTGTAAAACTCTTAAAAAACACGCTTACCCTTTGATCCAGTGATCCCACATCTAGGAACTTATCCTAAGGAGGTAATCCGACGAGCAGGCAGAAAAGTAGGACCAAGGCGCTCACACATTTATGTCAGAAAAAACGAAACACAGACACACACGAGGTGACACCAGCGCCAGCCAGGGTTGAAGACGGGATGGATGAAAGCATGAGTGCCTCTAGCACTGCCCTTGAGTCCACAGACCGACGCTCTACCCACTGAGCCAAACGGGTTAGGGCTGATTTTGTACGTTTTCGTGTGCTTTTCAACTTTTCTGCTTAAATACAGGGTGTCATCACCCTCCCCCCCAATAAAATAAAATAAAATAAATATGGGCACGCTTTTTTCTGAGAGCTCAATTGACGTTTCTTTTCAGATGTAGCCCGTCGGAATGAATAATTATTCACGTGCGTCTACATTTGGGGAGGGCACCCTATGTGTGTTCCTTTGTAATTAGAAAAACCAGCCGTCATGCATTTTAAAAGGACGCCTGTGTAACCATGAGGAAAGTAACGTGTTGCTATTTGTTGCCCACACACAGAGGGTCCATTGGATACACACGTGACAGTTCAGATTGCGTGTGTTTCCTCAAGAGTCATGTGTGTGCATGTGAGTTATCAGCAATGACACCGACTTCATAAAACCAGGTGCACGGTAGGCTGTGTTGTTCGGGGACAGAACCGCCATCAGCAGAACCCCGTGGCGGCCCGGGCAGCGTGACCGAGGGCTGCTCCCCACCACCAGCTCCCTGAAGGACTGAGCTGTCCCGGAAGCGCCGTGCTTGGGCAGAGCTGCACGCCCAGTGGGTTTTCTGCGAACGAGACGCAAAACTCGCTCATTGTCCACAGAGCGTCAGGACAGGACTGAGGACATGGGGGCACCGGCTTCATCGTCTGAAAGCAGCTCCCCCGTTAAACGTGTCACTGTCTCCTCTCGGTCCTCCTGTCCTCCGCTCAGGCACCCAGGGGAGAGGGTAAGGTCAGCGCTGGGCAGCCAGGGACACAAGGTCCCGTTCGGGGGCCTCTGCTGCCTCCATGGGCCGGGAACTGGGCCCGGGCCTGGGAGCGGGGAGCGTGCCCCGCGCCGGCGCCGGCTCGTCCGTGGCCCGTGGTCACATGGAAGAGCCTCTGAGGAACGGGCCACCTGCGTCCTCAGCACTGGAGCTGCGATTGGTACTTGTAGGCGTCCTTGTCAGGTGCCCACAGGGAGAATGCCAACCCAGATAAGCAGAGAATGGGGAAAGCAGGTAAATCTCTCTCTCCTAAAAAAAAAAATGTGTTTTTGTTATTGATCTCAGAAAGGAAGGGAGAGACATCAGTAATGAGAGAGAATCATGGACCGGCTGCCTCCCCGACTGGGGACGGAGCCTGCAACCCGGGCCCATGCCCTGACCGGGAATCGGACCGTGGCCTCCTGGTTCACAGGTCGACACTCAACCACTGAGCCACGCCGGCCGGGCTAATCTCACTCTTTTGACGCCAAGTCCAATCCCAGTCCTACGGGCCGTGACCTTGAGCACGTCTGCTCGCTGAGGCGGCTGTCCCTGCCCTCCCGGAGCTCAGAGCCTGGCGCCTGCCCACCTCGCCTCCTAAGGCGGCGAGGCCTGTGCCAGGGCGGGCAGCCACCGGTCTTCGCTCACGTGCTGTCCTCTCCCCCTCTGCCCGACAGTTCCCCTACGCCGCCCCGCCCCCCCAGGAGCCGGTGAAGACTCTGCGGAGCCTGGTCAACATCCGCAAGGACACCCTGCGGCTCGTCAAGTAAGTTCCCGTCCCGTCCCACGCTCCATCAGGCCGGGGCCCTCCTGCGGGCAGCCACACCCTGCAGAGCCCCGCAGAGCTGGGGTGCCAGGGCCCTCCCACAGACAGGCAGCCACACCCTGCAGAGCCCCGCAGAGCAGGGGTGCCAGGGCCCTCCCACAGACAGGCAGCCACACCCTGCAGAGCCCCGCAGAGCAGGGGTGCCAGGGCCCTCCCGCAGACAGGCACATCCCGCAGAGCAGGGGTCCCGGCCCCAGAGCCGCACCCGGGCCTGCTTGGGTCGGGCTCTGCATGGAGACTGTTGAGGCTCCACCTCGCAGTCCGTGAGTGCTCGCACTGGCCCTCCCCTGGCCCCGGCACGCAGGCCCTGCCTGATGAGTTTCTTTTAAAAAATATATTTTATTGATTTTGTACCGAGAGGAAGGGAGAGAGATAGAGAGTTAGAAACATCAATGAGAGAGAGTCATCGACCAGCTGCCTCTTGCACACCCCCTACTGGGGATGTGCCCGCAACCAAGGTACATGCCCTTGACCGGAATCGAACCCGGGACCCTTCAGTCCCCAAGCCAACGCTCTATCCATTGAGCCAAACCGGTCTCGGCTGATGAGTTTCTTTTAAAAGAAGAATATTGCGGGAGAAGGTGAAATTGCAGGCCCTCCACACGCCTGTGGAGAGACGAGCTGTTTGAACTAGGAATAGGAAATCCTTACTCATTGCTTACAGCCACTTTACATTTATTCTTAACCTCACACGCCAGACACTCAGTGCCCAGCCGGCAGCTTCGAGCCCACCGTGTTAATTGTCCCTGATTCACCTTCTCTGTGCTGTTCCTGAGACGGTGGCAGGCGTTTTGCTTTTTGTGTGTGTGTCTTTAAAAAATATATTTTATTGATGTCAGAGAGGAAGGGAGAGGGAGAGAGAAAAACATCAATGATGAGAGAGAATCACTGACCGGCTGCCTCCTGCACGCCCCACACTGGGGAACGAACCCACAACCCGGGCATGTGCCCTTGGCCGGAGTCCAACCCTTCAGTCCACAGGCTGACACTCTACCCACTGAGCCACACCGGCGAGGGCTTCAGCGTCTGCTTTAAGCAGATGCCACCTCCGCTGGGGCTCGGGGCTCCCCGGGGGACAGGCTGGAGGAGACGGGAAGGGAGAGGCGGGGGCTTAGGAAACTGTCAGCTACGTGACTAGGAACTTCGGTTCCGATGAGAAATGAACATCAGTGCTGTCGGGTAAAGGCGGGGGACGCTCGCTGTCGCGCATGAAGTATCAGCGACCACCGCCCGCCGTGGCAATGGCAGTGATGACTGCCCGTGGCAATGGCAGTGACGCCCTCTGCCGTCACCCCGAGGAGGGCGAGCGGGCTCAGGGCGGAGGCAGCCACGCGTGTCACGGTAAGAAAGCGTGTCAGTGCCGGTGTGCCGCCGCGCGCTGAGGCTGGGTGCTTGCCAGGTGCGCGGAGGAGGTGAAGGCGCCGGGGGCCGAGGGCGGCAGAGCTAAGGTCCACTACAACGTGGAGTTCACCTTCGACACCGACGCCCGCGTGGCCATCACCATCTACTACCAGGCCACCGAGGAGTTCCAGAACGGCATCGCCAGGTACCCCCGCAGCCCGCCCGGGGCCCACCCTCACGCGCTCACCGGGCGAGAGCTGCTCTTAAACCCACTTGCTTCTGCAGACCCTACTTCTTCTTCTTCTTTAATTTTTAACATATTTTATTGATTTTTTACAGAGAGGAAGGGAGAAGGATAGAGCGTTAGAAACATTGATCAGCTGCCTCCTGCACACCCCCCACTGGGGATGTGCCCGCAACCAAGGTGCATGCCCTTGACCAGAATTGAACCTGGGACCTCTCAGTCTGCAGGCCGACGCTCTATCCACTGAGCCATACCGGTTAGGGCAACTCTACTTTTAAAAATATTTCTGTTGATTTCAGAGAGGAAGGAGAGGGAGAGAGAGAGAGAGAGAGAGAGAGAGAGAGAGAAACATCCATGATAGGAGAGAATCGTTGATCAGCTGCCTCCTGCACGCCCCCCATTGGGGATGGAGCTGTGCCTTGCCTGACTGGGAATCAAACCGTGACCTCCTGACCCATAGACGATGCTCACCCGCTGAGCCACGCCAGCCGGACATAGAGGCCCCGCCTCTGCCCATTGCCCTTTAAGTTGTGCCACGTGGCTGCCTGGCAGGCGGCGGCAGAGCCTTCAGGTCGTTACACGGTTAGAACCCTTTGACGTGACCCTGCGTGGCCAGAGGCTGCACAGAAGGGTTTGATCGCAAAACCCGGCCAGAGCCGAGGCCGTGGATGACGGGAGACCCGGTCTGTCCGCATCCTTCCTGGCACCGGAGAGCGGGTGACAGCAGGCGTTAGCGGAGGACATGGCCGGGCCGCCGGGGCCACACGCTGACGCTCGCTCTGCTCCCCGCTCTGACCGGCAGCTACATCCCCAGAGACGGCAGCCTGCAGTCGGAGACGGTGCACTACAAGCGGGGCGTGTGCCAGCAGTTCTGCCTGCCCTCCCACACCGTGGACCCCTCCGAGTGGGCCGACGAGGAGGTGAGCCCCCGCCCGGGGGAGCAGGCGGGGCAGGGGCCCCCGTGGGCCCGGGAGCTCGTGAGGACCACGGCCAGCAGCACAGGGACTGACTGCCCAGGCGCCCAGAGGTCACGCTCACCTTCAGCCTCGTAACGCCTTCACACCCTAAAGCCGTGGTCGGCAAACCGCGGCTCTCCAGCCACATGCGGCTCTTTGGCCCCTTGAGTGTGGCCCCAACTGCCCTCCTCTGCTGGCCTTCTTGTGGTGGCCATCTTGTGTCCACATGGGGGCAGCTATTGTGTGTTGGAGTGATGGTCAATATGCATATTACTCTTTTATTAGATAAGATACACACACACAGAGAGTGGCCATATTATGATCCCTGAACACATAATAATCAGGCCACCCAGTGTGTGTGTGTGTGTGTGTGTGTGTGTGTGTGTGTGCATATACATATATATATATTAGAGGCCCTGTGCATGAATTTGTGCATGGGTGGGGTCTGGCCAGTCTGGTCAGGGGTAGGGGACATGAGCTGTTGGCCTGCCTGCTGGTCGAACTACTGGTCAAGGGGACAATTTGCATATTAGCCTTTTATTATATAGAATGGGCTCTAAGTGGCCAGATTATTATGTGTTCAGAGATCATAATCATCTGGCCACTCACTGTATATATTGATTGATTTCAGAGAGGAAGAGGGAGAGAGAGATAGAAACATCTTTGGTAAGAATCATTGAAAGGCTGCCTCCTGTATGCCCCCTACTGGGGATTCAGCACGATGCACAGGCATGTGCCCTGACCAGGAATCGAACCGTGACCTCTTGGTTCATAGGTCAACGCCGCCGGTAGAGACGAGGTTCTTGACAACGCCCGCCTCTGATGGCCCAGTGTCCTTAAACGTGTGCTTCCTTCCTTCTTCCTCGCTTTCCCTGCAGCTTGGCTTCGATCTGGACCGGGAGGTCTACCCGCTGGTGGTCCACGCCGTGGTGGACGAAGGAGATGGTATGGATCTCTGTCTCCTTTTGGGGCACACTGCCCTTTGGGGCACGAGGCCTGGGGCAGCCTGGCTGCCCCTGTGGGTGTCGGGCAGTGTCTGCACTCCCTCCCCCACCCATGTCCCCAAGGCCGTCGGTGGCAAGAACATCCCGGGTTCCGTAACGGGCCCCCGTCGTGCCGGCACGGACCGCGGGGAATCGGGGGGCAGGGCGGGGGCGTCAGGTGGTCGTTTGGTGTCCTTCCTCATCCGTGTGCCTGCCTTTCCTCCAGAGTATTTCGGCCACTGCCACGTGCTGCTGGGCACCTTTGAGAAGGTGAGTGCGTGGCTTTCTAGGGCCTCGCCTCTCTCCCGGGGGACGGGGCAGCCCCCGCCCGGTCGCCTGAGCTCAGCAGGTGGCGCTGGCCTGGGAGGCCGGGGCTGGGGAGGCCGGGCTGGGGGAGGAGGTCTGGGGGCTCCACGGGGCCAAGCGCCAGCTCTGCCACCAATCGCACATGACCTTCCACCCCGAGGCCTCCTCTGCTCCCCTCCAAACGGAAGGGTCAGACCAGACGCGGGCAAGATCCTGCCAGCCCGGGAGCCCGCAGCCCCCCCCCCCCAGGGCTCCCAGACCGCGGGCGGCAGAGAGAGGCGCCGGGACTGGTGCCTGCCTGCGCCCGGTCCTCACCGCCCTGTCTCCCTGCAGCACTCGGACGGGACCTTCTGCGTCAAGCCCCTCAAGCAGAAGCAAGTGGTGAGTCCGGAGGGGGGGCTGCCAGTGCCTTCTCCTCCCCTTTCTCACTGCTTCTCTCCCTCTCTCTCTCTCTCTCTCTCTCTCAATATAATTTTATTGATCTCAGAGAGGAAGGGAGAGAGAGAAACATCAGTGATGAAAGGGAATCATTGATTGGCTGCCTCCTGCACGCCCCACACTTAGGATGGAGCCCACAACTGGGGCCTGTGCCCTGACCCAGAATCGAACTATGACCTCTGGCTCATAGGTTGACGCTCTACCACTGAGCCAGGCTGGCCGTTTCAGAGATGTTTTGAGAGAGGCAGAGCAGGCACTGCCTGGAAATGGTGGCTGGCTGCGTGCGGAAGCTCAGGGAAGATGGCCTTCGGTGGCTCGAGCAGCATTAGTGACCGGCTTGGTCAGGCCGGAGGGCGGGGCCTGGGTTAGGGAAACCAGGGATGGGCCAGCGCCGGCATCAGCACGGCTGGGGCCCAGACTCCTGGGAATGAGCCTGGGTGTTGAAGGTGGAGTTTTAAGAAACAAGGGCTGGCCTGGCCGGTATGGCTTAGTGGATAGTGTGTCAGCCTGGGGACGGAAGGTGCCTAGGTTCGATTCTGGTCAAGGAACGTGCCTGGATTGCGGGCTTGTTCCCAGTGGGGGGCATTCATAGATTCTCTCTCATCATGGGTGTTTCTATCTCTCTCTCCCTCTCTCTTCCGCTCTGAAATCAATACAAATATATTTTTTAAAAGAATTTAAAAAATATATAAGAAACAAGGGTTAGAGGGCGATTTTGCTGCGTGTTGGAGATGGGCAGCTCCGTGGAGGGGGAGGGGCTCAGCCGGCCTCTCCTAAGATCCCTCCCTTCTGTGTTTCTCTCTCCCTCCCCTTCCTTACCCAGCTCTGCTCCTCCTCTTCCACGCCTTTCTTTTCAGGGCGTGTCACCCTAAGGTCCATGCCCCAGCTGAGGTTATACTGGGATGCGTCTCTCCCACACTTCTCGTCTGCCCCTTTCTTTTTTTCTCTTTAATTATTTTTATTGCTTTCACAGAGGGAGGAAGGAAGAGGGAAATAGAGATAGAAACATCCACGATGAGAGAGGATCTTGGATCGGCTGTCTCCTGCAGGTCCCCCTCTGGGGACCGAGCCTGCAACCTGGACATGTGTCCTTGGCCGGAATTGAACCCGGAACCCTTCCGTCCACAGGCCGACGCTCTATCCATTGAGCCAAACCGGCCAGGGCTAGTCTGCCCCTTTCTCAGCGGTGGGCGATGGTGAGGGCAGGATAGCACATGCCTCTGAGCGTGTGAGCCCCGGTGGTGGAAACATCAAACCACCAATGGTGTTTCTGAAGCAGAAAGCCTTCGGTGTTCCCCACCGGGACCCGCAGCCCTCGCTGCCCAGGCGGGGCGCGGCGCTGCTCCGATCTGTGCCGGGGTCAGCCTGCCCGTGACGCTGTGTTTGCTGTGCAGGTGGACGGGGTCAGCTACCTCCTCCAGGAGATCTACGGCATCGAGAACAAGTACAACACGCAGGATGCCAAGGCGAGTCCCCCCCGGCGTGCTGCCTGTCCTCGGAGGATGTGCGCCGAGCCCTCGGTAGAGCCGGGACCTGGGTGGCCACGCTCCACCGTCCGTACGGCCCCGAAGGTCTCTTCCTGCCCCCGTTTCAGGGGACTGTGCTTAACTCACTCTGGTTTGTTTCTGAGACACCCCCCTCCTGTGACCCTCCTCCCGTTTGCTGGCCGGGCCTTCTGGACACTGATCGTTAAACCCGTCCTTTTCCCCGTGGGCTCGGCTCGGCCCTACAGCCCCGCCGGTCAGAGGCACATCAGCCTCACAGCGTGAGCCTCATAGAAGTTTCCAGAGCCCATGAGACTCTGAGTGTGAACGCACTTGGTAAATTGTCACATCCGATGAAAGTATAAGCCTCTGTTCCTATTTCTTTTTCTTTTTTCTTTCTTTTAAATTGATTTCAGAGAGGAAGGGGGGGAGAGAGAGAAACATCAATGATGAGAAGCATTGATCGGCTGCCTCCTGCACATCCTCCACTGGGGATCGAGCCTGCCACCGGGGCATGTGCCCTGACCGGGAATTGAACCAGTGACCTCCTGGTTCTTGGGTTGATGTTCAGCCCCGGAGCCGCGCTGGCCGGGCTGTTCCTGTTTCTCATCTCGGTTCTTCAGAAACTGCCTTGTCTAGACAGTGTGCATCTTCTGTCCCAGGCTCAGCCCCCGCCCCCCCCCCCCCCCCCCCCCGGGCTCAGCCCCGTCTCCCCGGCTCAGCCCCGTCTCCCGCAGGTGGCCGAGGACGAGGTGAGCGACAACAGCGCCGAGTGCGTGGTGTGCCTCTCGGACGTGCGGGACACCCTCATCCTGCCCTGCCGCCACCTCTGCCTGTGCAACACCTGCGCCGACACGCTGCGCTACCAGGCCAACAACTGCCCCATCTGCCGCCTGCGTGAGCCTGGGCACCCGGCCGCGGGGGCGGGAGCGGGAGCGGGAGCGGGAGGCGGTCTCTGTTCGACCCCCGCGCCCCGGCGGACTGACGGCCCCTCTCCGCCTCCGCAGCCTTCCGGGCGCTGCTGCAGATCCGCGCCATGAGGAAGAAGCTGGGCCCCCTGTCCCCCACCAGCTTCAACCCCATCATCTCGGCCCAGACGTCCGACTCGGAGGAGCACTCGGTGAGTCGGGCTGGGAACCAGGCCCCCGTGAGGCCAACAGGGAGGTCTCCTCGCTCCTCCGCTCGCCCGTGGCCCCGAGTGTACGTGACTCTGCGGCCGGAGCGGGCAGGGAGCTGGGTGAGCCCGTGTCGCCTGGAAACCAGCCTGCAGTGTGAGGTTGGGGATTCGGTGTCCTGATGGTGGTGGCTGTGCCTAGAGCCCTCCCCACTTCCCTCCTGAGGACCCCACTTCCTCCGGGACTCCCCCAAGCAGAAATAAGAGGGTGTTCGTCTTAGGTTGGGATACAGTTTACTATCTTTATCTGAGTCCTTGAGGGAGGTAACTGTTTCTCTTTTTTTTTTCTTTTTTTTAAATATATATATATATATATATATATATATATATATATTTTTTTTTTTTTTTTTTTTTTTTTTTTTTTTGAAAGGAAGGGAGAGGGAGAGAGAGAGAAAAACATCAATGATGAGAGAGAATCATTGATCGGCTGTCTCCTGCACGCCCCCTCCTGGGGATCGTGTGCCCTGACAGGGACTCAAATCGTAACCTCCTGATTCATAGGTCAATGCTCAACCACTGAGCCACACTGGCCAGGCGATAACTGGTTTTCTTTATCCCCATTTGGTGGGGTCAGGGGCTGGGAGCCGAGCATACGAAGGTATCCTCCTCCGTTTTGTAGTGCAAGGTGTAGTGTCGGAGCAGATGCTGACTTTCCTTAGATTTCCCACACTGGACATACAATTCAGTGAGTGGTACTGGGATAATCAATTAGCTCTCTGGGAGGAAAAATCAGTGTAGCTTACTTCTTACCAGATAACAGATTGCATACGGAGTAACCAGCGAACTATATTCCACACAAAGCAAACCAAGCAGAACGTGGTTAAAAGGCTGGGATGAGTCACCAGGGACTTGCTGGTGGACTTTGGACGGGAGAGGGCTCACTGAGCTTAAAGTGGAACAGAACGGACCAAGACCGCACATTTTACCACGTGACAAATTTACATTTTAGCCGGCCGATGTGGCTCAATGGTTAAGCATCGACCCACGCACCAAAAGGTCACCAATTCCATTCCCGGCCTGGGCTCATGCCCAGGGTGCGGGCTTAGTCCCCAATTGGGGGCCGTGCAGGAGGCAGCCAATCAGTGTTTTTTTCCTCCTTCTCTCTTCCTTCCCAAAAAAAAAAAAAAGGTTAATAAAGACAAAACAGAACATAGGAGCTTTAAAAAGTTTTTTTGGGTTTCAGATGTGTAAGACATGACCAAAATTGAAAAGCAAACAACCACCCGTTTAAAGAAAAAAATGCCTTCACAGCATTCACATCGGAAGAAAGCCCGTGTCTCGGCCATAGCTCCTATGCATGAAACAGATAAAAAAATGTTCAAAGATATCAAAAAGTTCTCAGAAGAGGAAACACAGAAGGGTAACAGGCATCGCTTTCAAAGTCGGCCACATTAAAAATCAGCAATATGCAAATGAATGGGAGACACCATTTCTCACCTTTCAGATTGAAAAAAACCTCTTTAAGGAGACTCCACGCCAGCAGAATTAAGTGGGCTTTCTTTTCTGCTCTGAGGAGGGTAACTAGTTAGATAGTGGGGTGGGGTGGGAACAGCTGTGTGTGTCAGGAGCCTTAAACACAATTATACGTGGAGACCTAAGAGTTTAATACCAAGGAAATCATCTGAAAAAAGACTCAGGCACAGGGACATGCCTCGGGCTGTGGTCACCATCGGGAACGTCCGACACCAGGAGCCAGCCGTGGGAGCAGGACGGGGCGCTGTCAGGGGCCGGGGGGACGGGGGAGGAGGTGCGTGAACTGTGCGGGTGAAGACGCAGGAGCTAAGGTGTTATCACAGGTAGATCGTAGCTGTGGAAACCGTACGGAGGGGAGAATTGGAAGAAAATACACAGAATGCTAAGAAAGTTATCACTGTGGGTGATTTATTGATGGTTCCCCACCCCCTTTCTACTTTTTAAAAAATATATATTTTATTGATTTATTTACGGAGAGGAAGGGAGAGGGATAGTTAGGAACATGGATGAGAGAGAAACATCGATCAGCTGCCTCCTGCATAACCCCTACTGGGGATGTGCCCGAAACCAAGGTACATGCCCTTCACCGGAATCGAACCTGGGACCTTTGAGCCTGCAGGCTGACGCTCTACCCACTGGGCCAAACTGGTTTTGGCTACTTTTTCTTTAAATCCTGACCTGAGGATACGTTTGTTGATTTGAGAGGGGGGGGGGGGGAAGGGAGACAAACATTGATCTGAGAGAGAACATCCACTGGTCGCCTCCAGCAACACACCCCAACCGGGGATTGAACCTGCAGCCCGGGCGTGTGCCCTGCCAGGGTCACAGGTCGACAGGACCGCTGAGCCACGCACAGGGCCTGGCTGATCCCGCCCACCCTGTGTGGTTCCCCTAGTCCTCCGAGAACATCCCGCCGGGCTACGAGGTGGTGTCGCTGCTGGAGGCCCTCAACGGGCCGCTCACCCCGTCCCCCGCGGTCCCGCCGCTCCACGTGCTGGGCGACGGCCACCTCTCAGGGATGCTGCCCGCCTACGGCAGCGACGGCCCCCCGCCCCCCGTCCGGGCGCTCTCCCCGCTCGACCGCCTGCCCGACGGCGGCGGCCAAGGACTCAAGCTCAAGAGGAGTCTCTCCAAGTGAGTAGCCGCCAGGCGCCCCGCTTGGCCTGAGTTCCCCCACCTCCTCGGCGCCCTCCCGACCTGGGTGCCCGGCAGGGTGCGCCCCCTGGGCCATTCCCAGAGCTGCTCGTTTCCCCGATCCCTGGGGGAGCGCACCCCGTCCCTTAGGAGGGGGTGCGATGGGGGAACAGATAGACAAGCCTAGCAGGCGTTCTGTTGAGAGGGGAGGGATGGGGCCTGGGCCCGTGGTTGGCAGCTACGGCTCTCGAACCACATGCGGCTCTTTGGCCCCTTGAGTGTGGCTCTTCCACAGAATACCACGACCCGGTCAGTCTATTCTGAAGAAGTGGCGTTAGAAGTTTAAGGTTAAAAAATGTGGCTCTCCAAAGCAATGTCAGTCATTGCCCTGTTGGTATTTGGCTCTGTGGGCTGATGAGTTTGCCGACCGCTGGGCTAGGGCGTCATTTAGTCTGAAGGCGACCAGTACAGCAATCTCGGGGTTTGTATCTTTGAGGCTCAGATGGGTAAGCTTCCTGTCGCCTGGACCCAGGGTGGGGACCTCTCCTGCACAGGGCCATTGGGGGTGTATAGCGTCCTTCTCGGGCCAGGCCAAGTTAAAATAGTCTCACTCCTGCTGCCGTGGCGGGGCCAGACCCAGTGACTGTGCAGGCCTCGGAGGGCCCGGCCCAGGGGCCAGACATTCCCCGCCCCCTTCTCCCCCCCATCCCATCCCCCCACCCCCGTTGTAGATGAAACTATGAAGACGGGAAATGATAGTGGTTTTTCCCGGGTTCACACACAGCGATGGAAGGAGCCGAAGAGAAAACTCAGATGCTCTGATGCCCACAAGCGGTCTCGGTCCCTCCCGGCTCTCCGCCACCTCCCGCGCCTCGGGATTTGGGGTGCTCCCCGCGGCCCGCCCCTCCCTGCGGGGTCTGGGGGAACGTTCTTCACTGGGCAGCGGCTCAGGGCTGTCCCTCCCACAGGTCCGTCTCCCGGAGCTCCTCCGTGCTGCGCGAGGAGGAGGACGAGCATTCCTGCAGCGACTCGGAGACGCGCCTCTCCCTGCGGCCGGCCGCCCCGCAGCCCGGGGAGGTAGCCTGCAGCGGACGCGGGGATGGCAGCGGGGATCCTGCCCTCAGGAGTTGAGGACCAGGGGGGACAGGGCATGTGCAGGGTCTGGCACAGTCGTTGCTCAGTGAAGTGTTCTATGAATGAATGAATGAATGAATGAATGAATGAATTGAAGGATGGGAAACGTGTGCCCATGGCAGGGACCGTTGGGCTGGGGCAGAGGTGGGAGTGATGACACGTGGAGAAAACCCTGAGCGTGAGAGAGGATGGCACGGAGCCAGACGTGGGAATTCTTAGAAATGAAGAGAAAAGGGGGGAACGTCGGGGTGGGGGAGGCGTCTAGGCTCTGAGCGGTCAGTGGTTCGGGGAGAGGTGTGTTCCCAGAAGGCCCCCGGCTGGGGCTGTGGGGATGGATCAGGGGGAGACAGACTGAGCCTGGTGGGAGCGGACCCCGGAGCTGGGGTCAGAAAAGCACACTGGGCCTGGCTTTTGTGGCTCAGTGGTTGAGCTTCTCTCTATGAACCAAGAGGTCACCACTTCGATTCCCAGTCAGGACACGTGCCTGGGTTGTGGGCTCGATCCCCAGTAGGGAGCATGCAGGAGGCAGCCGATGAATGATTCTCATCATGGATATTTCCATCTCTCCCTTCCTCTCTGAAATCAATAAAAATATATTTTAAAAAGAGAGAGAAAGTAGGCAGCCCGGAGAAAAGGGAACAGGCTGTGGAGGTAGAATCCCTAGGACTTTGCATCTGTGGGGGTGGCTGGGGTCGCTGGCCCAGCTGGCTGAGGGGTGGGGTGTCGGGGCGGGCCGGGGAAGGGGCTGTTGTGGGAAAAGGTTGAGCCGGAACTAACCTGGCTTCCAAGTGGGGGTGCCCGGCGGGCAGGCGGGCGGCCTCTGCCGCTTTGTCCCTTCCCTTCAGAAGGAGGGCTGGGCGTCCTTTGTCACAGCTGCCGCTGACCTGTGTCATCTGAGCCCGGGCTTTGTGGCCGGCAGATGCCGTGCCACAGGCGGAACGAACCGGCAGATCTGCTCTCCCCTGGGAGCGGCCTCCGGACGGGGCCGGAGACGGCGATGACAGGGCCTTCATGTACCTGTGGCCGTGGGGACCCCGGCCCTCCCAGCGTCCCCTCGCCCTGCCTCCCGCCCTCTCTTGATTGACTGTGCTCCCTCCCTGTCGCCCAGGAATGTGGCGTCACTCCGGACAGCGAGAACCTCACCCTGTCGTCGTCAGGAGCCATCGACCAGTCGTCGTGCACAGGGACGCCCCTCTCGTCCACCATCTCCTCCCCGGAAGGTACGCGGTGGGGCGGGGAGGGTGGCACATCCCCCTACTCCTACCTCCCCCATCCCCCATGCCAGTCCTCAGCCCTGTTCCTCCGGAGCAGACAGACCTGGCAGCGAGCGAACATCTAAGCTGGTGCCCAGCAGGCCCCCCTGGAGAGGGAGGGACTGGCTGTCCCTGAGGTGAGTGTGGGGGACAAGCACTGTCTCACCCACTGTGCTGCAAATCCCTGGCCTGGAGTGAGTTCTAAGCTCTAAATGCAAAGGAGCAGAGCCCTGGACACCCTTCAATCCGACCCGGCCGTGTGGTTCAGTGGTGAGCGTGGGCCTGGGAACCAGGTCACGGTTCTGTTTCCCGTGCAGGAGGCAACCGGTCAAAGATTCTCATCATCTGTTTTTCTCTCTCCCTTTCCCTCCCCCTCTCCCTTCCTCTCTGAATCCAATAAAAAAGGATAAAAAGGAAAACCTTCCATCTAAAACCCCTTCGGAGAGGGAAGGCCAGGTCCCTGTGGCCTCACTGCGCGGGGCAGGGACGGGGCTCAGACCCTCGCTCGGCTGGAGCCCGCGCTGACCCGTCTCCTCCTCCCCCTCCCTCTCCGCAGACCCTGCCAGCAGCAGCCTGGCCCCGTCGGTCATGTCCATGGTGTCCTCCCAGAGCCAGCACTCCCAGCTCAGCATCGACACCGTCTCCTCCATGTCCGGCTCCTACGTCGCCCCCGGCACGGGCACGGGCACCGAGGACGAGGGGGAGGCGCTCCCCTCCCCGCGGGCCGCCAGCCGGGCCGCTTCCGAGGAAGGCGAGGTAAGGCCGGCACACATCCGAGCGCTCACGCCGGGACATCTGGGAGACCCACGGGCTGGGCAGCGGAGCCACGGAGATGGAGGCTGGAGCCCAGGGTTCCCCCGCAGGCCGGACTGCTTGGCACCACTTTTTTTTTTTTTTTAATCCTCACCCGAGGACACTTTTCCATTGGTTGTTAGGGAGAGTGGAAGAGAGAGGGAGAGACAGAGAGAAGCATCCATGTGAGAGAAACACACCGATGGGTTGCCTCCTGCACGAGCTCCGACCGGGGCTGGGGCTGGGGAGGAGCCTGCAACCGAAGTGCGTGCCCTTGACTGGAATCGAACCCGGGACCCTTTGGGCTGAAGGAGGGCGCTCCATCCACTGAGCCACACCGGCTGGGGCTGCTTGGCACCAGTTCTGTCCCGAGGATGCGGTTGGGGTTTGCTGAGAGGCGGGTGTCGCACCTCCATTCCCGTTCCTCTCGCAGGCGATGCCAGCAGTGTCCCCGGACAGCAACATCGTGGGCCTCGCTGACGAGCAGGACGCAGAGGTAACTCCCACAGGGGACGTGGCGCCCCTCCCACCAGAGGTCGGAGGTCAGAGGGCCCCGGTGCTGGCAGGGAAGAGGACAGCAGGGGCGCTGTTCCGGAACAGTCCTTCCCAGGTGGCGCTCGGGCCAGGCGTGCCGAGCAGCTGCATGGGGTGGGGTGTCCAGTGAGCAGAGGGCGCTGGTCTCGGGTTACGGCTCTGAGCGGGCTTCGAGCACCTTTTGTCCTCCAGTCACTTAGTGGCTGTTACACGGGGGGCTGGGGTGCGGGTCTTGTTGGCCCGGGGGCCATATAGGCCTGGGTGGCCTGGCTGCTGCCTGCCCCCTCCCTTGTACCCCCCAAATGGGGAGATGGGGTGACAATGCAGCGTGAGAAGGGCCTTGACCAAGGTGTGCTGACCGCCCGGCTCACAGGGAGGGTCAGGAACTTTAGAACTGCTGGAGCCACGCGTCCTGGAGGGGTGTCTGGATGGGGTTTGCGATCAGAAGGGTTGGTTTCCTGGGACCCCTCATCCCACCTTGGAAAGCAGTACAGCTAACCCAGGCCAGGCTACTGCCTGCACGTCCAGCCCGCATCCGAAACACGCCCCAGACCAGGCCCTCCCCGGCCACCAGCTCTGCCCGCCTCCAGGCCCCTGCTGAGTCCAGCTCTCCCCCTGGGGCTGCACACCGTGTGGGTGAGGAGCATTGTCCTGGGACCGCTGTCCCGCCCCGCCCTGTTCCGGTCCCCGTGCTCCACGACTCTGCAGCCTCAGGCGCCCGCCTTCTGTTGCAGGGAAACGAGGTCATGGAGGAAGACGACGCGTCCCCCACACAGGAAGACGGTAACCGACCCACCGGGCCTCAGCTCCCTCCTCTGCTCTTCCCGGGCACAGAGGGGCCCTGCGGGGGGGGGGGGGGGGGCCTGCGGGGGGGGGGGGGGGGGGACACACACGGACACAATTCCTCAGCCGTGTGCCCGGGGGAAGGTCACCTTCCTGATGGGATGGGGTGTCCGAGGACCGCAGTGCCGTCAGGATGGGGTGCCCAGGCCGGTTCCCCCTTTATGTCTAACACACTCTCTGGCAGTCCCCTCCGCCTGCCGTCCTGCTCCGGCTCCCAGCCGGCCCCAGAGCCCAGCGCCCCGCGTGGTGGGTGGGAGGAAGGCCTGGGCTGCGGGATGGGTGTTGCTGTAGGAGGGTTGGGTGTTGCTGTAGGAGGATGGGGCTGGGACCGGGAATCCCAGGAGCCAGGGGGCGGGGTGGGCGGGGGTTCGGTAGCTGCCGGAGTGGTTTTCTCAGGCCTGCGAGCAGCCTCACGTCCAGCGGTGTTGTTTCTAGGGCGGACAAGAGCACAGTGACCTGCAGAGCCAGGGCGGGGGGAGTGGGGGCGGGGCCGGGTCAGGCCGGGGATGGAATTCCGCTCTCCCCTCTGCTCCAGAAGGACACCCCCAAAGCAGACCCGGCCTGGCGGGGGGTGGGGGGGGGGCGTGCAGGCACCACCCTCATTGCTTCCGCTTCAGCGCTGGCCGTTGCTTGGGGAGTTCAGGGGCGCGCATGCGGGCTTGGCCACTGCCTGGCCAAGTCGCCCTGAAGGCGGGGACGGCCGCCCAGGCGGTGCCTCCGCCGCCCTCTGCACGCAGGCCGAGGCAGGTGGGGCGCCTCCCGGTGGGACTGTCCCCAGCCCCCCGACAAGCTCAGGCCGCAGTTGCTTCCCCCCTGGCGTTTCGTATTCCCCATGGTGGGACTGTGTATCGTCCTCTCCCTCACCGGTGTGGCTCAGTGGATAGAGCCTCGGCCTGCGGACTCAGGGTCCCAGGTTCGATTCCGGGCAAGGGCATGTACCTGGGTTGCGGGCACATCCCCAGGAGGGGGTGTGCAGGAGGCAGCTGATGGATGTTTCTTATAGATGTTTCTAGCACTATAACTCCCTCCCTTCCTCTCTAAAAAAATCAATAATATATATATATATTTATTTATTTATTTATTTTTATTTATTTATTTTTTTTAAAGAAATGAGCCGAAGCCGGTTTGGCTCAGTGGATAGAGCGTCGGCCTGTGGACTGAAAGGTCCCAGGTTCGATTCCAGGCAAGGGCATGTACCTTGGTTGTGGGCATATCCCCTTGAGGGGGTGTGCAGGAGGCAGCTGATCAATGTCTCTCTCTCATCGATGTTTCTAACTCTGTCCCTCTCTCTTCCTCTCTAAAAAACAATCAATAAAATATATATGTATATATATTTTAAAAGAAATGAAATAGAAAGAGGAAGCTTGAAAAAAAGAGCTAAAACTCTACCCACCCCTCTCCCTTGTCTGTAGGTTTCTGACTAGTCCCTTTGAAACGTCCTCAAAATAACAATTTCCTAAATCCCGTGAGAAAATGGGTCCTAACTGGTGAATATGGTGATTTTGACTTGATCTGCAAACTTGGGGAACCTGCAAGACCTTCGGTTGTTCTAGTATTTAGCACCTGCAGAGCCCTGAGGTCACAGACACACCCAATAGCACCCACGGACACAACGGCACCCACAGATACAATGGCACCCACAGACACACAGCACCCACAGATACAGCGGCACACACAGACACACAGCACCCACAGACACACAGCACCCACAGACACACTGGCACCCACAGTCATACTGGCACCCACAGATACAGTGGCACACACGGACACACAGCACCCACAGACACACAGCAGCGCCCACAGGCACAGGCAGGAGTAAGGCAGTTACGCCCACGGGTCCCCAGCTGCCCCCGCCCCTGGCAGAGCTCCCCATCCCCCCAGGCTCGGCTCCTGCGGAACCATGGCTGGCAGGGGGCCAGTTAGGGCAAGGGGCAGGCAGGGTCAGACCAGGAACATGCCCACACAGTGTGATTCCTTTATCGTCCTCTCTTTCCCCACTCAGTGACTGTCCTTTTTTAAAACATGATCTGGTCTGTCTGTGTCATCTTTGAGATGTGTACGTTCAGGACACACAGCAGAGGCGCACCAGCCCGTCTAACTGCGTTCACTCCCTTGCAGGCCAGAGGACGTGCGCGTTTCTAGGCATGGAGTGTGACAATAACAATGACTTTGACAACGCGAGCGTGAAAGCACTGGACAATACGCTGTGCTCTGAGGTCTGCTTACCCGGTGAGTGGCAGTCTGCTGAACGTGACCTTGGTGGGAGTCACTCCCCTGCTCACACCCCTGCACTCACCCCGGGGCGCCCACCTCCTGCCCCGCGGCTCCCGTGCTGACGCTGGAAGCTGCTGCCAGAGGAAGTGTGTGCTCCGAGGGAGAATGTCAGGCCAGGAGGAGGGAGCCGCTCTCCCTCTCCTTCCCGTCTTTCCCGTCTGCCCGACAGGGTCCTCCATAGCGATCCCGCAGATCCCGTGTCTGCATGGGAAGGGGGCCGGCCCCTAGCGAAGGGCATCCGCGGCTCCTCGGCAGGAAGGTGAAAGGCAACATGTCCTCGAGCCGTGGTCGGCAAAGCGCGGCTCTTTGGCCCCTTGAGTGCGGCTCTTCCACAAAATACCATGGCCTGGGCGAGTCTATTTTGAAGAAGTTAGAAGGACTTTAAGTTTTAAAAATGTGGCTCTCCAAAGAAATGTCCGTCATTGTCCTGTGGATAGTTGGCTCTGTGGACGAATGAGTTTGCCGACCACTGGGCTAGACGAGCGAGTGGCTCAGTGACCGTGGGCTTTGGGGTACCAGCCGCCTTGGACTTAGCTCTGGGTCCCAAAGGAGAGGTCAGGCCGGGCGCCCTGGAGCCCTAAGCTTACATGTCATCAGGGCTGTTCGGGTGCCCCGTCCCCCTCCTCACCCCAGGCCCATTTCCTGCAGAGGAGCCGCGTTAGCCTCTGTGGGTGCTGACCTCTGACCCGCTATGCTCCCGGGGGGCTCCCCAGCCGCTTCTGCAGAGCCAGGTCTGCCCACCGGACTGGCCCTCGGGGTTTACAGCAGACACTGTCCCTCACACGGTGGCCGGTCACCGCTCCGCCACCCTGAAATGGAGACATTTCAACCTCAGAGCAGCCCCCGCACCGTGGTCCAGTGCTTTACGCGTGTACGTGGCCGAGGCTTTGGAGCCACGAGCCGCCTGTGGTTGCCACGCTCCATCGGCCTGGGAAGGACACGCTCCGCACACGCCGGCCGCTGCGGGGAGCCGGGAGCCGGGCCTCGGGGGGGGGGGACCCCGGGCATCCTCTGTGGAGCGCTGGCCCGGTCCGCTCTGGACGTCACTTCCTGCCTCCACCGCGCTTCTGTCTGTCCGTTCGCTTTCCGCGTCTTTCCGGCCCGCTGGCGTCTGGGGGCTCGGTGGAAGCTCGTGTTCTCTCTGTGCCCACACCGTCCTCTCGCCGTGCCCGCCCGCCCCGCGCTTGCTGGGCCTGTCGCATCCCAGAGCCTCCTGCTTCGGTTCCATCCCTGCCCGGCGAGGGCCCGAGCTCCAGAGGCTCAGATTGTCCCAGAAAGAAAGCTGTTTGGGGGATATGTCCGTTCCTGGTCCAGAAAAAGGGGTGCTTCTGAAAAGCGTCATGGGGAAGGCTGGTTTCGGCCGCAGGTGGCATCTCTGCCCTCGCTCCGCCCTGAGTCTGCTCCATGGGGACGGAATCCAGGTCCTGCCTCCCTTGAGGGGCTCCCCCTGCTCCCCATTTGCTGGCAGAGGGAGCTGCTGGGAGCTGTGTGGCCAGCCAAGCTGCTGGGAATGTGAGCGCATTCCCTCTGCTTCCTCCTCTTCCTCACCCGCAGCCAGCCTGCGGGTTGATGTTCAGTCCGCTCTGGGGGTGGGGAAGGGAGTGAGACAAGGACGGACCCCTGGGGTTCCTCGTGGGGATCGGAGATTGAAGTGGGGTCACAAACCAACCGAGCACTGTGATGTCTGTGGGGAGAGGGTCCAGGTGTGAGCGCCTCGGGTGTCTGTCCATTGCGCCCTCAGCAGAGGCCCGGGCTCTTAGGAAGAGGGACGGCCTAGCTGCTCTCGCGGTCAAACGGGCTCTGGCTCGGCCGGGAGAACAGGGCGGGGCTCTCCGGAGCGTCCGCTGGGCTCTTCCCCCTCGGCCTTAAGGTCAGACTTCTGTCCTGCGATGCGGATCCCGAGGTTCCTCCCCATCGGCCGCTGGGCGCCTCGGGCCTGTGGGCTCCAGTAGCTTCCCGGCCCTTAGTCTCCGTTTCCCTCTCCACCCGGACGGACGGCGCTCCCCTCCAGGACGGCCCCTGAGAAGAGGAGCGGGGGCACCCCGCTCTCCCTGTCCCCGTCACCCTCCCGCTCCCGTCCTCCTCCTCACCTCATCCCCTAGAAGCCTCTGGGGTTCTCGGGCCTGAGACGCAGGGGCAGAAGGGTGTCCCCGCGGTGCTGGGAGGGCAGCTAAGCGGACAGGGCGGGGTGAGCAGGCGGGAACTCCGAGACCAGCGAGGGGGGGGGGTCGGGGGAGTGGGACGGACTGGCACACGGGGGCAGGGGTTGGGACCGCGGTTGTCCTGGGAGAGCCGCTGGGAGGCTGATGACGGGAAAGAGCGGAGATGACAGTGTAGTCGTGGGAACACGGTACGGTTTTAAGGGCCGCCCCGGGCGGACGGCGTCCATGAGGAAGGAGAATGCCTGTGGAGGCGAGGGGTGGCCCGGACTAGGGGGCTCCTGGGGAAGGCGGCCGGGGTAGGGACTGAGGAAACATCCAGTGCCCTCCCCCCGCCAGGGTGCCCTTACCGTGCTCCCCGAATATGGGCGCCCAGGGAGAGCGGACGCCAGCCTGCGTCTGGATGCCGCCCCGGAGGCAGAGGCAGCGCTGTCGGCCGGGGAGGGTGCTAGAACCGGCGAGGCTGTGAGCCAGAGCAGGAGCAGCCCGGGCTCGGGCGCGGCGGTTTGTCTGTGTATGCGTGTGTGTCTGCTCCTGTTCACCATCTGCTTTTGGTCTTTCCCACGCACAGCGCCACCGCGGAGTCCTGCCCCATAGACTGAGAACTAGGTACGACACTGCCGGGCACGCACACGGCCCGCTCCCCGGCTCCCGTAGCGGGCGGCCTCGCCTGCCCTTCTTGTCCGGCCGCTCACAGGGAAGGAGCTGCTGACCCCCATCCCCGACACCTGCACCCCAGGGACCAGCGGCCCACCCGTTCCTGCCGGCTGGGCGTGAGACACCTGAGGGTCCTTTCTGCTCACCCCTCTTCCCTGGGGCCCGCCTCCCCGGCTTTCAGAGCCCTAAGTGGGTTACCGCCCAGCGCGTCTCTTGGAAATAAGGGGTTGCTGCTGCCGCCTCAGGATTTCGTGGGGTTGGCTGGCCTCGCCTGCAGCCGCCCCCACACTTTTGTGAGTGTCCCTCCTCCAACATGAAGACAGCAGCCTCAGGCCCGCCTGCAGAGGTAAGTGGGCCTACTCAGGAGGTGGTCCAGGCACAGCGTGAGAAGTGGGGTGGCTGTGCAGGCTGCAGGGGAGCCCTCCGGCCCCCTGGGCCTCGTCCGGCAGGGGCCTGTGGGGGATCCGCTGCTCAGAGTGCAGAGTCAGGTCTCCCTCCCGCGCTGTGGGTGACCTGTCCCTGCCTGTCCACAGAGGCCTCCCTGCGCAGACAGAGCCGGGCCGTGGGCCGGGAGGGCGGGCGAGGGGAGGTGCAGAGAGGTGAGTGTGGCCTGGACAGAGCCTGGGGCACTGGCCGTTGTGCACCTGCTAGTGAGTGCCCTGCTGGGTGCTCTCCCTGTGGCCTCACCCAGTCTTCCAGCTTCCTGCGAGGCAGGAAGGCAGGAGCCGGGGGCGGAGCCGGCCATTGGGACGGAGGGTTAGGCAGACAGAGGGCAGTGGTGGGTGGGATGCAGAGTGCGGAGGAGGGAGAAGAGCCGCAGGGGACTGAGGGACGGGTGAGGAGCTTAGGGGTGACGCCCGTGGGACCCCCGTTTTTCAGCCTATGCCTCCTGCTGTGGATGGCAGGCCTCAGTGGCTGCTCAGATCAAAACGGTGAAGAGCGGCAGGTGTGGGGACGGGGTGCCGAAGCCATGGCACTGCCCCTCATGTCCTGGTTCCCTGCTGGGCAGCCAGTCACTTCCTGCCCCGCCCTGGCCCCCCAGCAGACCTTCGGGGTGCAAACACCTCTTCCCGCCCGAGGAAAGGCTCGGCGGGGCCCAGTTTCTTTCTCGTCCACCGTCCTGCACAGCACGTGGGCCGACTTCAAAACCAGCACAGAAGTGGGTCCGAGGGCAGGTCCACTGAACCAGAAACAGCCCCCGCCCCTCTGTCACAGGGCACAGAGGCCCGTGGGGCGGGGCGCCCACTTCCCCGTGCCCTCTCCCGCACCGTGGCCCGCACACACACCCACCAGCTTCCATGCCGAGCGCGGCCGGAGACGCAGGGCCCGGGCAGGGGCGGGCCCGTGACCGTGCTCTCTCCCCGCAGGCACCTGGCAGCCCGAGGACAACGCGCTCAGCCGGCGGCACCCTCGGCGGCGGCGCCGGTCGTCCAGCAGCCTGGAGGATGCCGAGAGCGGGCGCTGCGTGTGGGGGCCGCTGGCCGTCTGAGGGCCCGCCCTCCGGTCCCGCCTCCCGTCCCGGACTCCCTGGGCCGGGGCCCCTGGGCATCCTCGGTGGGACACGGGGAGACGTACACCACGTGGGAGCGGGGCGTGGAGGCCAGCCTGCACCTTCTCCCACCCCCAGCCTTCCATCACCAGGACCCGCCCCTCGGCGGAGGGGCTGGACGCCTCCTGCCTCCTCAGAGACCCTCTGGAACGTTCCATCCCGCTGCACCTTGGTCTTCGGGAGCCACGGCCCCCGGGCTGGCGTCTCCAGCATCTCTCTTCTCAGTGGCGGGTAGACCAGAAGACCGGAGTCTGCGTTTTCTGGTGTCGGGCCGGCAACACCAACTTGAAACCTCCCGTTTGGGGCGGGTTTGGGGGGGACGTGGGAGAAGGCCAAGCCACGTTGCACTGGATGCGGAGTTTCCGTCAAGGACAAGCGAAATGGTGCCGGCCCACCAGGCAGCTGGTTGGAAAAACAGTTCTTGCTTCCAGCAGGCGAGCGAATTAAAGCCTCGTGTGACTGTCTGGTTTAGAGAGGAGGCCTTGGACCTGACACACACACACACACACACACACACACACGTTACAGGACCGACCTGGGACTCCACCCGAAGGTGACATTTCAGAACACATTTGGCCACCTCTCTCAGGAGCTTCACCATCGCTCTGGCCCTGTCCGGTCATCTTCTTACCCCGGCTCCCCGGCTCCACCCCGTTGGATCATAGTCGAAGAAACAGGCTGAGAGCAGGTGCACCAGGGACCCTCCAGCTCGTACCCAGGCCTCCCCAGGAAGCGGCGGAGAGCGCTGAGCGGGGCCGGCAGTGCTCTGGTTGCTGGTGGCAAGAGGCAGGGCCTTTGCCCTGGGAGTGTCCCCACCCCGTTTTCCTCCCTGCCTTCCAGTCCCCCTGCCCTGAGAGGGCCGAGGGGAGGGACTGCCTTCCACAGGCTCATGGGAGACTTAGGGTGTTCCAGTCACCTGCCCACCCCTCACCCCCAGCCCAAAAGCTTGGGGGAGCAAGGTGGCCCGGACGGTGAGCGGCTGGGCGCGCCTCCTCTCGGCACCAGCTCTGCTGAGTCCTCAGAGCTCTTGGATGGACGCTCCGTCTGCTGGCCTTTGGGAAGGTGGGCGAGTTGGGGGGCAGAGTTGAAAACAGCCACGCGTGAGGCTGGAATGTGGAGCCCAGGCTACCATACCCTTCCGATGGCTTGTCTCTGTATTTGGACCTGTCACCGGGAAGAGCTGCTGGGGCCTTCGCCAAGCCTCCGAGGGAGCCCCGTGCCCACGGCTCCTGGCTCAGCACCCTCTGGGTGGCTCTGCACGGCCAGCTGAGTGGGCCCTCCCACCGCCCAGTGGCTGTGGCTCAGGTTCCGCCTGGTCAGCAGGGAGCCTGCTGTTCTGGCAGGTGTGGTGCCACCATGCCGGAATGGAAGCTTCTGAATGGAGTTCCCCGGCCTGCCCTCTGGAATCCTACAGTGGACTGCTGGTTCAGGCCCCACTCCGTGCCCGCCCTTTCCCCACATCCTCCCAGCCCCGCCCCTTTCCTGTTTGAGATCCGAGCAATAACCCCGCTCCCTGAGTTCCTCCAAGTGTGGAACGCCAAGGAAGGGGGCTTCGCTCAGCCTGGGGTAGAGCCCGCAGACCGGCCTGTCCTCCCGGGAGGCAGCCCTCCCCTCCGGTGTGGCGTAACCGGAGACGCAGGAGCTGCAGGTCAGCAGCAGCCGCCTGGCAGGAAGCCATCCCGTCCCCCTTTCTGAGGCTCTGGGTCCTCTCCCGGGGGGAAGGGGCTCAGAAAGGTTCTTCTCTGCCTTGGTTCCCTCACCAAGGCCTCTGGGCTATAGAGCGGCCCTTCAGTCCTTTTTCAGCCACTTCCTGTCCTCTGCGGGCCCCCCCCCACCCCGTTCTCATTCAGATGTTGGCAAACGGAAATATCCCCCCCAGAGGCTGGTCCTCAGTCAGCCTGTGGGGACAAGGCCACTGCCCGCCCGTCACTGAGCACAGTCGTGCTGGCGGCCGCTGTCCCCGAGAGCATGGACTATCCGGAGGCCACTCCTCCCTGCCACCTGTGGGCCTGAGCTACCCACGCCTCCAGGTGGTATGGCCCAGGCCTCCCCACAGAGCCCTTTCCGTCCCATCGGAGTCCCCGCCCACGCTGGGCACCTCCTGGGCACAGACCCACAACGTGAAGCCATCTCACCCGGAGAGAGCTTGTATCCTGTGCACCTGACCGTGGCCCCCCCTGCCCACTCTGCTCCAGGCGCTGCACGGCGCTGTGTGCAGGGGGTGTGCGTGGCTGTGCCATCTGGGCGCCCTCCTCCCCGGAGCTCCGCTCACGGGTACAGGACGGGACACCAGGACGCGGTGTGTACGGACTGCTGCATGATTCTCAAAACGGAATAAAGCTTGACAAGGAAGGAGAGCGCTGCCTGCCGCTGGTTACCAATGATTCCTGTCCGACTTCCTGCCCCCTTTACCGCTCAGGAGAATGGAAGTGCAGGCGAGGGCAAGGGGCAGGGGAGGCCGTGCCCCTGGATGTGCCATCCCCTGGGCCCTGGCTTCATCCACAGCCCTCCAGCTCCCGAGGCCTGAGCGAGGAGCCCTCAGCCCCACCCTTGCCCTTAAACCCGAGAACTTCCAGCACTGCAGCTCCTCAATAATTGAAGGGCGGGGAGGGAGGGCCGCAGTCCCTGTCTGTCACGTAGAGGGTGGTGGGGCCTTGGGTTAGATGGCCGGCTGGGAGAGTTTGGGAAGTCCGTGGCTTCTCTGAGTTGTGCCCGCTGGTTCTGCTGCCTCGGCTCTCTGGGGAGGAGGGAGGACTTCCGCAGAAGCCTCTGGAATGCCAGGGGCGGGGAGGCAGCCGCTTACCGGGAATCGGGAGGGATTGCCCACCCGCCTCGGTGCGTCTGCGGTCCGTGCGGTTCACGGCGCGGACCCGGGCGGCGGGTGGGTCGGAGAGTCAGGCCTGCCCGCGGGCACCAGGCTGACCCTCGGGACGGGAGAGGGGGACAGGCCGCAGAACCGGAGCAGCGCCCCTCGCAGCCCGGAGGAGGGGACATGGAAGCCCAGCATGCGGCTCCCAAGGCTGAGCCCCGCTCGGCCCGGCCCCGCGCCCCGGGCTGCGTCCCAGGAGCCGCAGACGCCTCGGAGCAGCGGGGACCGGAGGGGGCAGGGCGGGGGCAGGTTCTGGGGGCGAACGGCTCCCGAGCGCCCGGGCCGGCGGCAGCTCGGGGCCGCGCGCTTCCCCGGAACCCGCGCGCCCCTCGGGCGGGAAGGCGGGGCTGGCGGCGCGGGAGAGTTACCGCCGCGGAGCGGGGCGAGAGCCGCGGTCACCTTGGAGACGCGCCGGCCAATGGCAGCGGCGGAAGCTGTTTATGGGGCGGGGCGTCGCCATGGCAGCAGGAGAAGCCTTCGGAGCGGCTACTTAACGCGAGTCCCGGGCCGCGGGCGCTCAGAGGCGCCTTCAGGCTCGGGGGGCGGCGAGCGGTGCCGGCGGGGCCCTCCGGCGGAGGGCTCGGGGCCGCGGGGGTGGTGGCAACTTCTTCCAGAACCTTCCCTTAGCCCGGCTGCGCCCTGAGCCAGGTAAGGGGCCGAGCGGTCTGCGGGCCGGAAGGGGGGCGGCCGGCAGCGCGCTCTCGCATGCGCCCCGAAGCCAGCGGGGGGCCTGGGGGCTGACCCCTGCGGAGTTTGGGGGCGCCTCCCTCTCCGCCCCCATAATGATGCTTCCTGTTCCCTTCCTCCGCCTGCTCTGCCCCCGGATAACCCCTTTCCAAGGCCAGACGGCCTCCCGCCCCCGCCCCGTCGGGCTCCCTCGCCCCTCTTCCCCGGTGGCGGGTGGGAGCGTCTGAGTCTCCGCTCTCGGGGGGAATGGGGTGGACGGGAATGCTCCTACCGCCCCCCTCTGTTTGGCTCATAGTCTCCCCTCAACCTCGAAGGGGGAGTGAGGAGCGAGGGTCGGGCGGGGGTCGTCCTGTTCCCCAGACCTCGGCCCCAAAGACCCGCGCGGCTGCGGGACGATCACCCCAGCACACACCCCGCCCCCGGGCCCGGGCGGGGACAGGCTCAGCTCCCGCCCTGCTCCCCGCAGGCCCCACGGCCGTCCGTGTTCGGAGGAGGCGACCCCGGTCGCGGGGATGGACGCGCGCGTCCGGGAGGCCGCGTAGCGGGAGCGGCGGAGCGAGCGCCGGCGGGACGCTGCCCGCCCCTCGGAGCCGCGGCCATGGCGGAGAGCTGGCTGCGCCTCCCGGGCGCGGGGCCGGCGGCGGGGCCGGAGGGCGGCCTGGAGGAGCCGGACGCCCTGGACGACAGCCTGACCAGCCTGCAGTGGCTGCAGGAGTTCTCCATCCTCAGCGCCAAGGCGCCCGCGCTGCCCCCGGGGGGCGCCGACCCGCACGGCTACGGCCAGGTGCCGGGCTCCGCGGCGCCGGGGTCCCCGCTGGCGGCCGACCCCGCCTGCCTGGGGCCGCCGCACACGCCGGGCAAGCCCACGGCCTCCTGCACGTCCGGCGCCCCCGGGCTGCCGCCCCCCGACGCCGTGGACTACGCCACCAACCCCAGCGTGAAGCCGCCCTACTCGTACGCCACGCTCATCTGCATGGCCATGCAGGCCAGCAAGGCCACCAAGATCACGCTGTCCGCCATCTACAAGTGGATCACGGACAACTTCTGCTACTTCCGACACGCGGATCCCACCTGGCAGGTAGGGGGGGGGGGGGATGCAGCTGCTCCTGCCCGGCCTCCTGCCACCGCCCCCCCCCCCCAACATCCTTCCAGGGACTCACTGGCTGCGCCCAGATCCAGGTCAAGCCGGCAGGGACCCGGGGAGGAAGGCCCCGGAGGGAGCCCTGCTGGGAAATGCCTCTCATTTGGCTCCAAGCGGGAGGAGGGGGATGCTCAGGGGGCCTCCGGGATGAGGATGCTGAGTTCAAAGGGCGAACATGGTCCCTCGTCCGAGAGGCGCAGCCCAGGGACCAGGGCCAGACTCGGCCATGCACCGACACAGCTCCCTGCGGGGGAGGTGGTGATGGACGAGGGACACAGTTTGGTCCCCGGTCCTACAATTCCTAGACGTTGCCTGCCGGGGACAGAGTTCCCGGACCTGCCTGGAGCATCGGCCCACCTCTGCCTCCCGCCTGGTTGCAGTTGGCTAGGGGTGGGGGTGGGGGGAGACAGGTGGTCGAGGGCCACGGGGTGTGAAGGCAGCTGTGTCCCGGAGCCTGGGTATGGGGCCTTCCTGCAGCTGCTGCCCCAGCCCCCACTCCAGCCCTCCCCGTTTCCTGTCTCCCCTCCCCACCTCTTCTCCGGCAGGCTCCCCGGGGAGACAATTACCTGAGCCAGGTGCTCTCCACGGGGCTCTGCCTGCAGCTCGGGCTTCAGGCTCCGAGCCTCAGCCCAGGGCCAGGCCGCCATGTAAACACCCAGCCTTGCCACGGGCACTACCCACCTGTCCGCCCTGCTGGTCAGGCCCCCGGCCCCTGTCCCCCTCCTGCGCCTTAGATGGTGCTCTGAGGCCCGCAGGCATTGCCCTGCGAGGCTCCCGATCAGGGCCTGGTTGGGGACACCCAGAGTCCTCCCTGGGCACCCGCAGCAGCAGGCCGCCTGTCACATCCCGGCTGCGACGCCCTCGGCAGCCTCGGGGCGAAGGCAGAGACCCCGCCGCCCCCCACGCCTGCGGAGCCCCGGCTGCGGGAAGTGGGCCCAAGAATGAGTGCTGTGCTCCGTGCTGGGTGACAATCAACCGAGGCCACACAGCTTGGGGGAGAGGAGGGGCGTGGGGGGCAAGGCCCAGGCCAGGGGCTGGCTCACCAAACAAGGCAAGCTGCCGGCTCCTACCACACCTCACCCCTACACACACACACACACACACACACACACACACGCACACACACCCTCACGCCGCCAGTCACCCAGTGCCGCCCACTCCACCCCTCTCCCTCCACAAACAGCCGGCCAGGCCCTGGGGGAGCGGAGGCGTTTGGCCAGAGGCTGGGAGTGGCGGGGTGAGGGGGGGCGGGCAGGACAGGGTGGCACTGAATCCACCCTGTGGCTCGGGGCTCGGATGACTGAGCAGGCGGATATCCCGGCAACAGGGAATAAAAGCCCCGGCTGCCCTCCTGGCTCCGGGGCCGTGGCTGGCGTCCCAGAGCCTCCTCCCCCTCCCCCACCGAGAGGAGCACAGGCCGCCGCTGACCCCTCCCCCCCCTTCCTCCCCAGAACTCCATCCGCCACAACCTGTCCCTGAACAAGTGCTTCATCAAGGTCCCGCGGGAGAAGGACGAGCCGGGCAAGGGCGGCTTCTGGCGCATCGACCCGCAGTACGCCGAGCGCCTGCTGAGCGGCGCCTTCAAGAAGCGGCGGCTGCCCCCGGTGCACATCCACCCCGCCTTCGCCCGCCAGGCCGAGCCGCCCGGCCCCGCGCCCTGGCCCGGGCCGCTGGCCGCCAGCACCGAGGCCCAGCAGCTGCTGCGGGAGTTTGAGGAGGCCACGGGGGAGGGCGGCTGGGGCGCGGGCGAGGGCAGGCCCGGGCACAAGCGCAAGCAGCCGCTGCCCAAGCGGGTGGCCAAGGCGCCCCGGCCCCCCAGCTCCCTGCTGCTGACCCCGGAGGAGCAGGGCGAGCTGGAGCCCCTCAAGGGCAACTTTGACTGGGAGGCCGTGTTCGACGCGGGCGCCCTGGGCGGGGAGCTGGGCGCGCTGGAGACCCTGGAGCTGAGCCCCCCGCTGAGCCCCGCCTCGCACGGCGGCGACGTGGACCTCACCGTCCACGGCCACCGCATCGACTGCCCCGCCCCGTGGGGGCCCGCGGGGGAGCAGGCCGCCGACAGCCTGGACTTCGACGAGACCTTCCTGGCCACGTCCTTCCTGCAGCACCCCTGGGACGAGGGCGGCAGCGGCGGCCTGCCCCCCGAGCCCCTCTTTGAGGCCGGGGACGCCACCCTGGCCGCTGAGCTGCAGGACTGGGCCAGCGTGGGCGCCTTCTTGTAAGAGGCCGGGCCCGCCCGCCTGCGGACAGCATCCGAGCCCAGGCCAGACTGCCCCAGGCACCGGCCCAGGGACCCTGCTGCCCCCGGCACCGGCCCAGGGACCCTGCTGCCCCCGGCACCGGCCCAGGGACCCTGCTGCCCCCGGCACCGGCCCAGGGACCCTGCTGCCCCCCGCACCGGCCCAGGGACCCTGCTGTCCCCCGCACCGGCCCAGGGACCCTGCTGCCCCCCGGCACCGGCCCAGGGACCCTGCTGCCCCCCGGCACCGGCCCAGGGACCCTGCTGCCCCCCGGCACCGGCCCAGGGACCCTGCTGCCCCCCGGCACCGGCCCAGGGACCCTGCTGCCCCCCAGGTGCTGGGCACGCCTCCCGGGCCGGCGCCACGGGGCCACACATCCCCCAGCCGGGCCGCCCTCAGCTCCCAGCCCCGGAGGCTGAGCATGGGGGCTCAGGACCAGAGAACCGATCGCTGCCTCCAGCCCCGGCCCCACACACAGTGTTGCATTGCCCTCACCTGCCCGCCCCAGGGACCGGCTACACCACCCGGCACCGAGCACCGTGGCCCGAGGGGCCCGTCCGGGCTGGGGGTGCAGAGGACGGGCCGCCTGGGCACCTGGGCTTCCAAAGGTTCTCCTTCCTCCACCCCCCACCCCCACCCCCGGGCCTGTATCCAGAGAAAAGCCCCAGGTCCGCAAACGCTAATGAGGTGACTGCAGATTTACCCGCTGGGGCCTCTCCAGGCAAAGCCCCAGGGGCCGGGCGGGCAGGAGGCGGGAGGAGCCGGAGGGGCAGAGAGGAGAGAGACGTGAGGGCCGGGCACCCACGGGGCAGGGAGACTTCCTAAGGCCTCCTGGCCCATCTCCACCGCGGGGCAGGGGCGAGGCTGGAAACCCCTAATGTCCGAGCCCTGGAGGCTGACAGTAGTGAGGAGCTGGGGTTCCGGGGAGCTGGGGGCAGGGAGGAGGGGGAGACGGACTAACGTAGTGAGTGTAACCTAAAGCAGAGGCTTAACGGGAGGCATGGCCAGCTTGCTAGAACCACGGGGACCAGGAAGGGGTGGGGGTCACCCGTGTCCCCGCCTGCACTCGTGGGGGGAGTGTCTTGCGCGCCCACCCCCCCAGCGCCCCAGGCTGCATCCCGAATCCATCCTCCTGCCCCACGGGGCAATTTAACCTTTTTCATGGAAAGTCATTTACAATAAATGTTTTTTTGACAATAAATTTTTTTTTAAATCTGCAAATGGACCTGCTTGCAACTTTCTTTGGGAAAAGGCGAGGGCGCGGATTGAGGGGGGGTTCTCATCGGTGCCGCAGGTGGGGGGCTGGAGGGAGTTGGGGGGTCACTGAAGGCCTGAACATGCCCCCTGAGGACTGTCCCAGGAAAGGGGGGAGGCAGCTAAGGGCTCCCCTGCAGCCCTGGCCTCAGTGCCCCCGTCTGCACAATGGGGGTAACCACCCCCACAGCCCAGGAGCCTGCGGAAAAGGAGGCACAGCCCCTCCCTGGCCTGGGGATCACAAAGGCTGCGCTGAGCGTGTGTGTGTCTCCCCCTCCCCCAGGGCCTGCCTGGGCTTGCCCGCCTGAATATGCCTCCCTGGCCTGGGCCAGGCTCCAGCACCTCCTGGAGGGGACAGGGTGTGAGGTCAGAGGGCCCGTCCAGGGCCCGCACGCCCATCCTGGGGTGTGTGCACCCAGCGCGGCCTCCCCCCCAGGCCCGGTGCAGCTGGAGCAGGAGGAGGCCACCGGGGAGTCTGTGTGCCCAGACCCTCCCCCCCTCACACTGGCAGGTCTGCTCTGTGAGGAGCCCAGCCTACCAGGGTTCTGATGGGGAAACTGAGGCACAGAACACGTGTGTTCAGCCAAAACCGGTGTGGCTCAGTGGATGGAGCATCAACCTGCAGACTCAAGGGTCCCAGGTTCGATTCCGGGCAAGGGCATGTGCCTTGGTTGCGGGCAAATCCCCAATGGGGGGCGTTCAGGAGGCCACTGGTCGGTGTTTCTCTCCCATCAATGTTTCTAACTCTCTATCCATCTCCCTTCCTCTCTGTAAAAAATCAATAAAATATATTTTTTTTAAAAAGAGCATGTGTGTTCGCGTGACACACGGTGGCATCTCTCAGTCCCCTCCCCCAGCTTTGTCTGGAGCCCACCTCTCCGCTCAGCCCCACGAGAACACCCTGGGGGTGCACAGCTCCTCCCCAGCACACACACACACACACACACACACACACACACACACACACGCCCTGGCACAGATGGGCATCTCCCGCTGCCTGCCCAGCCTCCACAGACCCTTTCTCACCCTAGCCCTTTCTTTCCCTTCTCTGGGGCTCGGCTCAGGGCCAGGCCTGCATTCCCCTGGCGAATGCTGCTTTCACTTGCTAATTATTCCAAATATTTCAGCGGGCACACACTGCAGGGCCAGTGGGGCCTTGCTGAGCCCAGAAGCCAGCCCACCCCTTCCCACAGCAGCCAGAGGCCGCCTCACTCTGCGACTCCCTTCACCCCCACCCCTCCAACCCACCCGTCAACTCCCTACAGGCCCCCAGCAGTGGGGAAATGGGGGGGGGGGGTATGGCCTTCTCCACCGGCCCCCAAGATCAGCCTCCAGCCCTGGCCGAAGGAGTTACACTTCTGATTGGCAGGAGGGCGTGCCACCCTCTCCCCCACCTCACCCTCTGCCTCCGCTGGGCTGCGGGGGAGAGAAAGACAGGTCTGGCAGGCAGTGCTGCCCACAGCGGCGAGGAGAGGCGGGAGGGGTGCAGGGGCGGTGAGCAGAGGCGGGAGGGGTGCAGGGGCGGCAAGGAGAGGCTGGAGGGGTGCAGGGGCGGCGAGGAGAGGCTGGAGGGGTGCAGGGGCGGTGAGCGGAGGCGGGAGGGGTGTAGGGATGGGGCTCAGCCCTGGCTGTGGGGGAATCGATCAGGAGCTGAAAACCCCTGTGCAGGGCCCAGGCCTCACCATTGATGAAGGGCCTGGACGCTACCAACACCCAGCGGGGCCCCCCTCTGGGCTCCCCTCTGAGCAGGCGGAAATGTGAGTTTCAGAGCCCTCCCTCCTGCTTACCCCTGCCTGATGGCTTTTATTTTTATTTTTTAATTGTTTAGATGTTGTATTGATTTCAGAGGGGAAGGGAGAGGGGGAGAGAGATAGAAACGTCAATAATGAGAGAGAATCATGGATCAGCTGCCTCCTGCACACCCTACCCTGGGCCCCACATTGGGAATTAAGCCGGCAACCCAGGCCTGTGCCCTTGACCGGGAATCAAGCTGTGACCTCCTGGTTCATAGGTCGATGCTCAACCGCTGAGCCATGCAGGCCGGCCTGCCCTGGTGGCTTTTTAAAAAACTGTCCTTTTTCTTCCTAGTTACTGATGGATTCGGCGTGACCCCATCATAGCGCACTCAGCAGGTGGCAGTAAGCAATGCCCATCAGCACCAACTGCCGAAGTGTGTGCGCTTCAGAACAAGGGCGCGCCTGCAGAGCCGTTGTGCCCCCGTCACCATCAGGACATGGGCATTGACTGGCAATCCCACCTCACCACCAGCCCGTTCCAAATTAGCGGAGAGCCCCATGACGCTTTCCCACCAGCAGCCCAGTCCAGGTCACGAGGGGTCCTATCTCTCTCTCCCTCTGTCTCTTTTCTTCTTATCTCTCTCTTTAAAATTTTTTTATATATATGAATATATCCCCAGCTGATTTGGCTCCGTGGATAGAGCGTTGGCCTGCAGACTGAAGGGTTCCAGGTTCAATTCTGGTCAAGGGCACAGGCCAGGGTTGCAGGCTCCATCCCCAGGGGGGACAAGCATGAGGCAGCCGATAAATGTTTCTCTCTCATCACTGATGTTTCTCTCTCTCTCTACTTCTCCCTTCGACTCTGAAATCAATAAAAACATATTACATATGTTTTTTTTAATTGATTTTAGCGAGAGGGGAAGGGATAAGGATAGAGGGATAGAAATGTCCATGAGAGAGAAACTTCGGTCAACTCCTGCACGCTCCCCACTGGGGGTTGAGCCACAGCCCTGGCATCTGCTCTGATGGGAATCCAATCTGACTGGGAATCTGACCGGTGTCCTCTTGGTTCCTGGGCTGATGCTCACAATCACTGAGCCACACCGGCCAGGCAGCCCTCTCTCCTGTGCGCCCATGACTCCCCGAACAGGTTCCTATCTCCTTTCACCCCCACCTTTGAGGTGAGAAGCCCCTAAAGGACTTCACTCTGAAGTGTTGGGGGCAGACCTTCCCAAAGAAGCTGCTCTCCTGTCTCCTAAGTGTCCCCTTTGCCCATGTGAGGGGGAGGGGGGAAGTGGGGAGACAGAGGGCAGGAGCTTGGAGCTGGAGGCCTTCCCCTCTCTGCCCAGAGCACATCCTGTCCCCGGCCAGGCCACCACGGCTTCAGCGACCTGGGACCCTTCAGCCCGGCTCCTGCTGTCCCCCAGCAGCAGGCCAAGCGCCTGCAGAGCCGAGCTGAGGACGGACGGCTCTCCACCCCCCACACGCACAGACTCTCAGAGGGAAGAGTGAGTTGGGGGCGGGGAGGGGTGTGAGGGCAGGTGGGGAGGAGGTGGGCAGGAACCAGGCGCACTTCCATCCGGGCAGGGCCCAAAGGTAAACAGGTGTATTTGGCCTCGCAGCAGGGGGCAGGGGGCAGGCCTGGGCCTGTCTGGAGTGGAGATGGGGGGTGGGGGGGCACATTCACAATGGGGTGGAGAGCGGCCCAGGTCCTGCTGACACATTCTTGTGTAAGAGGAGGAGGAAAGGCGGGTGGCAGGGAGGGGAGGCACCCTAGGGGGCTGCTCTGACCTGCGTGAGCCAGAGGCACATGGAGGCCCTGGGGGTCCCCGCCCCCCTGGGCACGATGAGGGGCTCCGGGAGGGACAGGGACAGGTCAGAGTCACCCCATGGGCATGCTGGGGCCTGAACTTGCCTTGTGTGGTCAGCTATGTACAGGGGTCAGCTGGAGAGCACTGCCCCCCAGGAGCCAATCTGCCGGGGGTGCAGAGC